ACCTGATGAACATCAAGCCTCTGAAAATGTGAGAGGAACTCTCCGAGGTCTCTGCCCCAGGACACCAGGTTCAAAGGGAAGATCAGACATTAACAGAGCAAATTACAATATAAATGCAAAAACACCCCATGAAACAAAGAAAAAACATTAACTGGTTTCAGGATATGAGGATATGGCATGTTACTGCATCGTAAGTGGGGGCAGGGCTCATCTGGGAACACACGAAAAGCCAAGGAGGAAGAATACTGTTCACTTTTAAAGATTATTTCTTTTTTTATTTTTTTTTTAAGATTTTACTTATTTATTTGAGAGACAGAGTGAGTTAGAGAGAGAGCACATGAGCAGAGGGAGAGAGAGAAGCAGGTTCCCCTGCTGAGCAGACAGCCCAATGTGAGAATTGATCCCAGGACCCTGGGACGATGACCTGAGCCAAACACAGACACTCAACAGACTTAGCCACCCAGGCGCCCCAAGATATTTCTCTTTTTAAACATTTATTATCTATTCATTTGAGAGAGAGAGAGGGAGAGCACATGCACAAGTTGGCAGAGGGGCAAAGGGAGAGCAAGAGACACGATCCTCAAGCAGACTCCCCACTGAGTGCAGAGCCCGACAGGGGCGGGATCACAGGACCCTGAGAGATCACTACCTAAGACAAGATCAAGAGTTGGATGCTTAACCAACTGAGCCACCCAGGTGCCCTGAATACTGCTAATTTTAATTTTTAAATTAATAATCATCTACCCTAATGATAACGGATGCCACAGAAGAGTCCACTGTATGTATCTGCACTGTGCAATTGTGTTACAAAGTAATCAGGAGAAAAGCAGATCTGATGAAGCCTTGCTAAATTGTTTTATTTTCTATTTAGGTCTTAGAGGAAAACTTGTTTATCAAGTAGCAACTTAAAACACCCAGGGTTCAGTAAGAGCAGTCCCATAATTTATCTAAGATTGCATTTCTTTAAATTCAGCTTTACAGGGGCGTCTGGGTGGCTCAGTCTGTTACGTGTTAAGTGTCTGCCTTTGGCTCAGGTCATGATCTCAGGTTAGCAGGATCGAGCCTGCATCTGGCTTCCGGCTGAGCAGGGATCCTGCTTCCCCCTCTCTCTCTACCCCTCCTCCCCCTGCAAATAACTAAATAAAATCTTTAAATTCAGCTTTATAGCATGCTCTCCTTTGGAAAAAAAAAAAAACCTCTCAATTTTAATATCTATTTACTCAAAGAGTTACATATGTTTCGAAATAAAAAACAAACAAAACCTGGATCAAGAAATCAGAATGGCCACCTCCACACTGTCGAAATTAAGTGCCATTCCTTACTCTGTGGCTCAAACTGCAAACCAATCATTTAGGAGGGAAAAAATAAACTCTGAAAGGCCAGCCTTGCAAACCCAAGCGTCTAGTATGACTGGCAACATCAAAGACATGAATACAGGTGGCATAAGTCAAAGACTTGCTCTCTTGATTAGTTTTCATTTTGTACTTTTAAAATATTACTTTAAATATACAGAGACCAACGTTTTTCATTCCCTTTTAAGAGCAACTGCCCTTAATAGGATGAAGTTTCTCACAAAACTGTTCTTCTCAAACCTTTCCTGTACTGGCATAGAGGCATAAGGAGAGGCCACAGCTGGACGTACATTAATATTTTAGAATGGGGCCATTCCTCAATTTTATCTAACTAAACTTAAAGGGCTTCTGAAAATTTAATTGCTCAAAGATGATCATCACAACAACAATTTTGGTAAATGAAGTCAGTACTTTTGCCTCAGAAAGCAGAAAGGTATCTAAAAATTTGAAAATCCAAAAAATAAGCCCCAGCTACTTGAAAAATCTCCTAATGTAAGAAATTCCATTTTGCAATTAGGCAAATAAGAAAGTATTCCGAGAATACCAACACATTTAGAGAATAAAAGAGATATGGTGGCACTAAGGGTCTACTGCTTAAACACCACACACTATAACATAACTCAGGGTAAAGTGATCATTTCAAATGAGCTCTAAGTTGAATGGGGACAGCAACCTGCTTTAGGAATATGCAACCAAAACAGTACACATCACCCCCCTCCAAGTGTGTGGGAACAAGAATCCCCTATATCAACAATTTAATAATATAGTAACAAGAGATCCACAGTACAAAGTGAGAAAATGATACCCACGTGATCACCACCACCTGTCTAGCAAAGCTCATTTTAATTTGTGATGAAACTGGGGAACCCAAAAGGTAAACAGGAAGGGTACCAATCTTACAAGGCTAAGAGGAAAAGGAAACAGTTCTGCTATGAAGGTGATTCATGGACTTTCACACACGCTCTTCTGCACTTTAATTTCCCCCAAGCCCTTCACTGCTGTCCAACAGCACAGTCGACTGGTTCAGACTCCAGCTCTCTTCTCTTACGGCTGCAGATTTTATGATGACTTTTATCCAGGTCTCCTACCAAAGCTAAAGCCAAAGACCTGAAAATAGACTACAGATCAGGCTGGGAAGGGTTAGATCTAGAGAAGCTACCCACTAAACATTATGGGTGACTTCGGCTGCCGGCCACGAATGAACAACGGGCCTGGAATCGGATGTCCTGCGGTGAGGACTAGAAAGCTGGACAAAATATATGAGACAGCCGCTTTCAGAAAGTGGGACCACAGGGACAGCAGAACCGTGAGCCTCCCAGAAAGGGACAAACAAGTTAGGTAAGTCCTGCATTTGCCTGCCTCCCTGCACGAGGGAAGAGGAAGCCCAGCAGAGAAGGAAAGTCTTGAAGGACCAAGGAGACAGAGACTGGAGTTCGGGGAAGCTAAGACAACAGGGGTTTTCAAGACAGAGCACCAAAAGGGAGCTACCACAAAGAGAGAGTGCTCTAGGGATCTGCAGAGATCTCCTCAATCCTAAACCACTGAGAAACAACTGCTGGGAGCTGTAAAGTGAACAATTCCCCGAACTCACACAGAACTGGGAGACATTCGAATTCCATCCAGCAGAGTGGAGCTATCTCACAGAACCCTCTGGGCAGTCAACAGAGATGCAGAAAGGCCAAGCTCCAGAAGCAGGCTAAAGTGGCCTTCAAATAAATTGACACGAACTTGACCCGCACTAACGAAGTCTAACAACCAGCCTGGAAAGGACTGGTGTAATCCACAAATTACTTTGATGCCTGCCAAAACAAACGCCGTAATTCTTTATTGGTAGACAACAAAATCCAAACACTCAACATAATACACACAATGTCCATGGGAAGAAGCAGCGACAGGAAAGACAGAATTAGCAGAGGAGGATATTAAAACAACTATTATAAATATGCTCCATATACTCAAGAATATAGAGAAAACATGAACATAATGAAAAGACTCTATTTCATTCTTTTTTATGCCTAGAGTTGAAAAATCCAGTATCTGAAATTTAAAAATCATTGCATAAAATTAACAACAGAGACTGTAGAAGACAAGACCGATGAACCTGAAGACATAGCCACAGATACTATTAAAACTGAAGCCAGACAGAAAAAGACCTGAAAAAAAAAAAAAAATCAATCAAGCCTCAGTGACTTACAGGACATTATCAAGCTGTCCAATATACATATAAGTAGAGTCCCAGAAGAAGAGGGTAGGGGAGGGACTATAAAAAACTATCTGAAGGGACGCCTGGGTGGCTCAGTTGGTTGGACGACTGCCTTCGGCTCAGGTCATGATCCCGGAGTCCTGGGATCGAGTCCCGCATCGGGCTCCCAGCTCCATGGGAGTCTGCTTCTCCCTCTGACCTTCTCCTCGCTCATGCTCTCTCTCACTGTCTCTCTCTCAAATAAATAAATTAAATCTTTAAAAAAAAAAAAATATCTGAAGGGGCGCCTGGGTGGCTCAGTGGGTTAAAGCCTCTGCCTTCGGCTCAGGTCATGATCCCAGGGTCCTGGGATGGAGCCCCACATCGGGCTCCCTGCTCCACGGGCAGACTGCTCCCCCCCCACCCAACTGCCTGCCTCTCTGCCTACTTGTGAGCTCTCTCTGTCAAATAAATAAATAAAATCTTTAAAAAAAAAAAAAAAACTATCTGAAGAAATAGTGGCAGGAGTGCCTGGGTGGCTCAGTTGGTTGAGCATCCAACTCTCGATTTTGGCTCAGGTCAGGATCTCAGGTTAGTGGGATCCAGCCCTGTGTAGGGCTCTGCGCTCAGCACGGAATCTGCTTAAGATTCTTGCTCTCCCTCTGCCCCTTCCCCTGCTTGCACATGCTCTCTCTCTCTCTCTCTCTCTCTCAAAATAAGTTAGGGAAAAAAAAAAGAAATAGTGGCAGAAATTTTTCTGAATTTGATCAAAACTATAGGTCCACCAGTCCATAAAGCTTAAGGAACACTAGACAGAAAAAACAAAATCACACAAAGTTATATAACAATCAAATTGCTAAAAACCACATAAAATACTGTTGCTCCCCCGCCTCCATATATAAAATTAAAAAAACCCTAATCCAAAGACAGCAAATTAACCACTTTCTAAATCTTCTGATTGAAAAATGTTGATAAAGTTCATTAAAGCTCAATTTTTCTATTTTGGTAGAGGCTTTCCTGTGCCTGTATCCCTAACATAACCTTAGTCTGTCTACCAAGTAGTCAAGCATGAACAGAGTTAAAGGAATGCAAGATAATTTTATTATAATTTTATATTAATGCATTTGCATACCTTACAGTTCACAAATGTCACATACTTTAGATTGTATGCTCCTTGAGATCAGGAACCTTCATGGTTTAGCCTGCAAAATTTCTAGTACAGTTTCTACTGGCACATAACTATCTGAAGACACATGAATGAGTCGAGCTCATTTTATCTTCAGTACATGGTTATGTGTTATGCAAAACAAGTAGAACAAGATGAGAAAACCGATGCCCAGAGGGATTCAATGACTGTTCCAAGAATACTTGGAAGGTGAGCAGTATTTCACATCCCTAGAGTGATTCCTCCACACAGGGTTATCCCAAAGTAGACACAAACGAAGTAACTTTCAATTGTTACTTACTCTGAGTTTCCACTAGATCCAAGGCAACACTAGAAGCTGTATCCATTCCAGAGCTGATACAGGATTGGAAGTTTTTCAAAGAGGAGAGAGCAGATTCTATACCACTGAAGGATATAAAACCAGTTGAACCTGAACTTGAACTGGAACGTCCGGGCATCTTGAAATTATTACCTAAGTTTTCAAACACAATGAAATAAGATTTAGGAGTCAGAATAATAATGGAATAGAAAAATAATACTGCTGTAAACGTCCATATGAATGTATCTAATAGCCCACAAATGTCACAGTATTATATACATTCTATATCCCTGGAGGGGACACCAAAGCATTGTGCTGTCATGTGGGCCACCAAACACAGATGCACCCAATACATGAGGAAGCTAAGTGTTTTCATTTTTCAAAGGAGGGAAAATACTCTCTTTCAAAATATTCCCTGGTTCTCTGAAGAATTTAACAACAGCACGGTTCTCAAACACCTAAAACTTGAAGGGGTTAGAAAAAGTAGACTACTTGTATGATGCATTTTTCTAAAAACTGAAAACAGTAGGACAGGGTGGCTGGCTGGGTCAGTCGGAAGAGCACGCGTCTTGGGGTCGTGAGTTCGAGCCCCATGGCGGGTGGAGAGATTACCAAAAACAGTAATAATAAAATAGTTTAATAGGGAGAACTTCGAAACCTGTAATTTTTAACATGCCTGACATATATGCATATTTAATTCTGAAAACTGTAAATATATAAATGTAAATAAAAAAACACATATTATATATAGATATTGTATATATTCCTGACAGTCCTCTGGGTTCTAACAGATTTACAGACTTGGTTAGATCCCAGATTCTGTCAGTAAAAGCAGAATTTATCTACATTATAAAGTATGGGGGCGATATGGAATAAGGGTCAAGTATACAGCTTCTAGAACCAGACTATCTGAATTCAAAGCCTGATTTTCCCAGTTAAGTAACTGAATGACTTCAGGCAAATTATTTAAGCTTTCAGTGTTTCATTTTTCCCTTCCTAAAACTGGAATCACGCACCTCTGGAATCCTGCCCACCTCCAGGATTACTGTGAGAACAGAATGAGATAAGGTGTATAAGAAAACACTCAGAATAATGTCCAGCATGTGGAAGCAAATATTAACATCAACTTCATCATTATAACCCGATAAGCAAGAATATGGAGTAGTGCTTGAGAGAATGGACACTGAACAGAGATGCTTGGAAATTCGGTCTCATCCATACCTTTTGTAATTGCACGCCCCTGTTTAAGTTGCTTACCCTCTCTATCTTCAGTCTGCTCTTGTGTAAAAGGAAATAATCGTATCTCTTTCACAGCATTATTGAGGATAAATTAAATGTAGTTTTCGAAAACTTGTCTGATCTTAAGAATCAGTTGAAATGCTTATTAAAAATATAAATTTACATATAGGTATTATCTCAGACCTACTGAACCAAAGTCCCTAGTGGACACTCCGAGAAAACCTGTATTTTTATGAACTGCCCCCAGGTGATTCTTGAAATCAAACAAGTATGGAAAACACTGAGATAATTGCATCTCCCCCCAGATTTTATGTTGAGAGCCTAACCCCCATTGTGATGGTAATTAGAAATTAGGCCTTTGGGAGATAATTAGGTTTAGATGCCCTGAGGCTAGAGCCCTCAGGAAAGGATTAGTGTCCTTATTAGGAGAGGAAGAGACACCCCAGTTCTCTCTCTCTACCAAGCAAGGACCTAGCAAGAAGGGGGGTGACTGAAAGCCAGAAATAGGGCCCTTATCAGCAGCCAACTCCCCAATCTCTGACTTCGAGTCTCCAAAAGTGTGAAAATAAATTTCTGTTGTTTAAGCCACCAGTCTACACTATTTTTTAACAGCAGTTAGAGTTGACAAAACACATGATGTATATAAGGAATAATATAATCCAGGCTAAGTGGGAGTGTCTACCACATAGAAGCTATCTTTATTATGTGCATGCAAAACTCACATTACTCTAATGAAACTACATTTGCAGAGACCTGGGTAAAAACTTCCTTCTGTAACTCTGGAGTATTTCCAGGGAGAAGATTCAGAATGAGAAGCAAAGGGAATACGTAGACCCACTTTTCCCTCTTTCTCCCACTAAGTACAGCTAAGTACATAATTCACAGGACACCCCCCCTTCTCCAAAGAATCATCTGGCCCAAAATGTCAATGATGGGGTGGTTGAGAAACCTTGGGTTTAAATCAACCTCCTCTTGGAGCCTTCCCCAGTAACAATAATCTCTTTGTTCCCTGTACCTATGGTTTCCAAGAAAGTTTAAAACAGGGCTTCCTGAGTTTTTCCCCAAGCATGTTATTTTGCCTCCACTAACAGGTCTTGTCTTTGGCCATTCTGGCTGCTGTAACGAAACACCAGACTGGGTAGCTTATTTATAAACAACAGAAATTTCTCTCTCACAGTTCTGAAGGCTGGAAAGTCCAAGACCAAGGTGCCAAAAAGGTCAAGTTCTGGTGAAGGCCCTCTTCCTGGTTCAGAGGCCCCATGCCTTCTCACTCTTTGTCTTCACACAGTATTAGGTGCAAGGGAGCTTTGAGGAGCCTCTTTTACAAAGGCACTAATTCCATTCAGGAGGGCTCCACCCTCTTGACCTAAGCACCTCTCAAAGGCCCCAAGTCCTAATACCATCACACTGGTACTAGCATCTCAACATATGAATGAGGGAAGCTGAAAAGACACACATTCTCGGACCCCAGCAGGTCTAAGATTGGCTTCAGGCAGGAGCAGTTAGTTATTACTGTTTCCCTCTCTCATCTTTCTGCACAGCACAGTGATAAGCAAAGACCAAACAATTTATATACATTCTGCTGAATCTCCTTCAAATCACAGGGACCTGTACAAGTCCAGACAGAGCTGTCTCCTTCTTCGAGATGCAAGGATCCGTCTTTCTTTATGAAATCTTCTCTTATCCATATATGCAATAGCTTGCTCCCTCCCTCATGCTACTACTATCCCTCTCTCTCCCTTACACACACACACACACACACACACACACACTTCTTTATAAAACTCAGCAAAACTCATCACAATCATTTGTTCACATGAGTGGCTGTCACTCCTTCACCCAGCTTATACTAGAACTCTGACACGTTCCACAGCAAACAGCTCCCCACACAAAACAGGCAATCAATAAAGAACTGAGGAGAGTCACCACAGTAACAGCGACCACCTTTCTGAGGTCCTCTACAGTGCGCCATAACCTGCTGCCTGGCGCTTCACTCTCATTATCGCTAAGGTTCTCAACCATTTCTAGAAAAGGGAAACTGAGGCCCAGAGAGCTTTTTGAACGACTTGTCCGAGGCCCAGCTTTTGAAGACAGCTCAAACCACATCACCCTGCATCAATAATTCGTGAACTTTCCCCCACTCGGATCGAAGGATGGAGAGATGACGTCTCAGGGAGGGAGGCAGCCTGCCCGAGCCTCCCTGCTCGACGTGCAAAGAGCCAGGCGGACAGACCCCAGTTCAGGGCACACGCGGAGAGTCCGAGAGGGAGGAGACACTTTCCGCCACCCTCGTCCTCTCCACCCCCAGCTTCTGCCTTACCTGGACGCCCGACCCAGCTCGGTCTCGCTGCACCCGGACTGCCCACACCCGAACCCCAACTCCTTCCTCAACTCCCTTCCCCAGTCGCTGAAACTGAGAGCGCGGGCTCGGGCGTCATCAGCCGTCGCCCGCCAGCGGTCACATGACGCCCCGCCCCGCTCTCCGCCCCTCTGGTCATGTGACCGCCAGGGGAGCCAGAGGCGGAAGCTGGGGTCCTGCCGGCTGGCGAGTGGGGGCTGCGGAGAGAGGGGTACCGGTGCGGAGAGGGAGGGGTCGGGACCCGGGTGCCGACCTCGCCCGCGATCGACGGCCGCACATGTGCGCACTGGCGCGGCCCGGGTGACAGGTGAGTTGGGGCGGGATGCGCTCTCCGTTCGGTCCCTCTGCCCCTCCCCAGCCCCCGACGGGGCCGCGCGGGCTGGAGGGACGTTTGTGGCGTGGGGTGCTGTCTGGATGCAGAGCCCGGTTTGGAGGACTGAGGGGCCTCCGATGGCGGGGCTGCAGTCCAGGCTCTCCACCTCCACATAGGTGGAACTGATTTTCCACGCTGTCTGGGCGCTTTGGGAAGTGATATTCAGCTGCTTGCCCCGCATCTGATCATTCCCTGTTCTCAGGAGCCGTGCTGGGTAGACATTGTTATTCCTGCATTCACTCTGGAGAAAACGGAGCGGTTGGCGAGGGGCTTTAGAGTCTGATGGACCTGGGTTTGAATTCTAGTTCTGCCGTCGGCTGTGAGTTTGAGCAAGTCATTGTTCCCTCTGTGCACCTTAATTCCCTCACCTGTGTCATGCTGGTGCCAAAGTTCTCTTCATTTCGGAAAATAGTTCCGAGGGTCCTGACTGGTTTAAGGGACGGTTGAAAACATAAACCAAGTCACGGAGCCCGTAGTGGAGCCGGATTTCCCGATTCCAAGTGCACGGAGTTTCCTCCAACATAGGTGATGGGGTCAAGAGAAGGGACAGAGAAGTGTTTCTGCCTCTCCCCACAACCAGGATCACCTTCCGTTTTTCCATCTCCTGTCTTTTCCGGGATTTATGAATGGGACTAAAGTGATCAGGCTTGTTTCAGAACTTTTCTGGAAGAGAGTTATCAGTCACTTTTATCTTGATAAACAACCATTACATTTTGTTCCTGATAATGGATAAGTGGAGACCAGTGCTTCCTTCTTTATGGAACTGAAGTTTTATGAAAGGATAAAAATAGACCTATCTTCTTTTGTCCTCTGAGTAGGGCACACAGTGGTTTGTGCCAGGGCAATTTAATTTCCTTCAGATTTCAGTTCTGTACTTACTGGGTAATTGGCAGATGATGCCATGCTTCATTCTTGAAAGATGTTCTCCTATGTCTAGGCTTATTTTCCAAACTGCAAACCACAGCTCCATACCAAATTCTTTAAAATAAATTATGGCTGCTTTGGGGGGTGCCTTGTAAAAGAAAAGTAGGAAATTGAGTAGGCTCTCTGGTTTCATTTCATGCCAAGTAGTAATACCATCTATATGGAGAAAAACTGGTCTTTATGAATTTTCTTCATCCCTAGCACCAAGAGAACCACTAAATGGAAGATTTAATATAGGTTCTCCTATAGTGTTTATCTGCACCTCATTCTAGAGTGATTTTTTTTAAAATCTCAACTAAGCCTAAGCACCTTCTATAAAGCCACTGAATTCTGAGATCACTGCCACACCATTAGACATCTTTAATATTGGTTCTTAGGTTCTGTTCTTTACGGCAAGTTTTTAAACCAGCAGTGGGGTATCTACCAAATACTCTGACCAAATAATATTTTGAATGTTGCCTACAGTGTAAGGATTTTAAGAATTAAAATAAGCGGTAAACAAAAGTCTTGACTTATGTCATTATTCCAGGCCTAAGCAAACCGGACAGTCTGCGTGCAGGTGCTGAGTGTATCTGTTCATCCTTTTTTGGCCGGGGGTGGGGGGGTTAGGGGAAGAAGTCAGGTAATGTTATTTTGCTTTAAGGTATTTTCTCCATGGTCCCAGTGTCTATCCTGTATTGAGATCCAAAATCTGGTAGCAGTGACCAGTTAAACAGAGCTTGCTTGTCTTACAAGTGTGTCCCGGAATTTCATCCTGCTTAGGCCTGGGTCTTCAGAGGACTTCAGTGACTTTTTTTTTTTTTCCCCATTTGTCATTATTTTCCCCCTTCCCTTGTATCACTTTCCCAGACAGACCATTCCAGTGCAAAAAAATGGGATGAGGGGTGCCTGGGTGGCTCAGTGGGTTAAAGCCTCTGCCTTCGGCTCAGGTCATGATCCCAGGGTCCTGGGATGAAGCCCCACATCGGGATCTCTGCTCAGCAGGGAGCCTGCTTCCTCCTCTCTCTCTGCCTGCTTCTCTGCCTACTTGTGATCTCCGTCAAATAAATAAATAAAATCTTTAAAAAAAAACTAATTGTTTAAAAAAAATGGGATGAAATTGGGGTGCCTGGCTGGCTCAGACAGTAGAGCATGTGGTTTTTGACCTCAGGGTCAGTTCAAACCCCACGCTGGGGGTAGAGTTTACTTTAAAAAAAAGGGGGGGGGATAGAAAAAATGAAATTATCTGAAATTCAGCGTGTTAAAGATCAGTTTGGCTTAACAAGTAAACATCATGAGAAAATGAAAGGACTTGTTAATAATTTATGCCTTAATGTGTACTAAAGGATACCCTCATGAGACAAAGTTCTAGACAACCGTAGTGTCGTCTCAGCATTCCCTGCTCTTGGACTAACCCCATCCACCGCCGCTGATCTGCATGTCTATCCTTTGTTCACTCTGCACTAGCCACATCAGCCACTTGGCTGTTCCTTAAGCACATTTAACACATGGCTGCCCTGGGGCTTTTGCATTTACTTGTAAACCTGCCTGGAATGCCCTTCTTCCTGATGATTACCGATTGTAAAATAACAAACTACCCCAAAACCTAGTGGCTTAAGGCAAAAAGAAAAAAAAAAAAGAAAATATCTATTGGCTTATAGTTTCTGTGGTCAGGAATCGGTGATGTGGCTTAGCTAGGTGCCTTTGGCTCAGGGGCTCTTGGGAGGTTTAGTCTGGGTGTGAATAGAAGCTGTCATCTTATCTGAAGGCTCATCTGGGGTTCTGGGGGATTCCGTTTTCAAGCTCATTCAAGTGGTTGTTGGCAGGCCTCTCACTCTCTCATCACTGGGCTCTCTCACAACATGACAGCTTCCTTCCTCCAGAACAAACAAACTAGGGAGGATGCCCCAGCCAGAAGTCACCATTTTTTGGTGATCTAATCTCAGAAGTCGTATTTTTCTTTTTCGTATCTGCCTATTCTGTTCCTTAGGAGTCAGTAATCACATTCAAGCAAAGGGGCCCACCCAGGGCATGAACAAGGAGATGGAGGTCGTCGGGGACTGTCCTAAGGGCTGCTCACCACACTCAAATACCCTTCCTGCTTGCTTCCTCGTTTCCTTCCGGTTCCTGCTCAAATATCTCACCAGAGAGGCTTTCACATACTTTGTAAAACAGCCCACACTCCATTTCTTTATCATGCTCTTTCTTCACAGCAGTGATCACAGCCTGATACATAATGCATTTATTTATTATCTCTGCCCCACTCCCAGTAGTATGCAGGCTTTATGCGAGCCAGAACTTAGTTCTGTTCGCTGCATATCCTCAGGTCCTAAAACCATGCTTGACACCTAGGAGGCACTGGGTGCATATTTGTTGAATGAATGAGTCTATGTCAATGCTTCCACCTGTAAGAATCCAAAAGGCAACTAGCAGTAGATAACCCATAAAAATAGTTCATTTTACAAGGATCGCAGAGGTCGTTAGTGCCACAGTTGAATCAGCAAGTCAAGAACATCAACAAGAATTTAGATTCTTTCTCTTCTTCCAAACCACCACCAGCAGGTTTTTGCCTTTTTTTCTTTTAGGCTTGTCACCCCGTGACCTTGCCTGTCAGGCAAGATGTGTTCATTGGACCACATTCAAAGGCAAGAAAGAGAGGGCTTAGCCAGAGGAAAAAGAGGAATTTCTCTTCAAGCTTCTTTCCGTGTAGCAAGAGGAAAAAGAATACATTTCCCATAAGGTCTACCATAGACTTCTTCTTACATCTCATTGGCCGAAATTGAGTCACATGTCTAACCTACTTTCAGGGGCTTTGGGAAAATAAGGACCCACTTGTTTCCTTCTCTATAGGAAGAAAGGAAAAGGAGGGAGGACGTTCTTGTTGGAGAGCCAACAGCCTCCCAGTAAATTAAAACATTCCTAAGTATTGAATCAATAATAAGAGACTTACAGAAGGGAGAAAGAAAACCTTTAAGGGTTATACAAAGCTTCCAGTTACTAGATAACTATAGTAGGTAGCTCAACATGAGCAAACTCTGAACATATGTGACAGGGGTTGGGGAATGTTTTGCTAGGACTGCAGAGGAAGCCCCCCTCCTGTCAAAAAAGTCTTTCCACATCTGGTTTTGTGTGCAACGAAGTCCTCATTATTTCATTTAACCCTATTTGGGTCCCTGCAGCTGGATTACATATGAACATAAAAGTTGGCATTGACATAAAAATTGTAATGAGTTGACCACTTAGAAGCTTATTTCTTCTTACTCAGTTATTTGTGTCCTAAAGGATCTAGTAGGTTGAATTCTTATATTTTTGTTGGCCAGTCATCTTAATGTTAATGTCAAGTTGATAGAACACAGTACCAGTACAAAATTCAAGTGCAAATCCTGGGAAGTACACAGGCCTTCATGAAGCTGAAAAATAATTGAGGCTTCCCTGAAGTTGACCACGGTGACCTAGCTAAATTAACAGAGGAGAGAAATACAAAAAAGATGATGACAAAATGAACATTTCCAAAGATAATGATTTGAAAAAGAGTTGGGAGAAGACTTTGGGAAAATGAATGCTATCTTGAACATTTTTTACAAAAATTATCTTTTTCTAAGATTGTGCTATGAAAGTCAACCATGGAGTATAAGATACTGTATCATCAAAGTCACAATTTGGTGAAATCAACTTTTGACTCATTCTTGGTTTGTTCCTTGAATTAGGATATATTTTACCCTAAATTTTGTTACGTGTGAAACTTACTTTCATAAGTTTTAATGGTACCATTCCAAGATACCTTTCTAATCAAAACTTT